TCTCACCCCTTCACACCCTTAAAAACAGCGAGTTCTTTTAAATCATAAAGCCTTACAATTTAGAAAGTGTCCTGATAATTTCCAGAAAGCTAAGCAATGTGTAAATCCAGAACGGTTTTGAAGTAAGTTTCATCTTCCTTACAACTCAAAACGTGCTGTGCAACATTCATGTACACACCTGTAACTCCTAAAGTTTTGGCAAAAGGTAAAGGCAACAATCCATACTTTTAATCACAATTGTCATAACCAATGTTCTCGAAAAGCAGAGAGGCTGAGCAAAGATGGGTGAATGTGTCCTGTGTCATGGCCCGCTGTGCCACTGCAGTAGGGGGTAGTATGGTAAGGTGGCAAAAATGGTACAATACAGGCCTTGAGAAGATTCAGCAACACTGGTTAACTTCATATTTGAAGCCTATAGAAATGTTTTTAAAGAGCCTTTAAAATGCTGTTTGCTGTCCATTTGATTTGAAAACAGCCTATCCTGTGTCGTGTCTAAAAAAGATCTGAATATCCAAGCAACTTTGTTTCATGCAGGAGCTTATAAAATGCCCCAAGGACAAAAGCAAAGTCCTCTCTGCTTACACACCGCCTAGCACAGGGTCCAGCTTTCATACAGAAGGTGCCCAATAAGTGCTGGCTGAATTCAGCTGCTTCTCGCAGCACATTCTCAGGAAACAAATGAAGCCAGACTTAAAAGGAAGCTACTGTCCCTTGGGGTCTCCCCTTGGCAAAACTCTAAGGCAACAAGTGAAAATGATACAGCTGATTTTCATTAGGGCCCTGATCTTGCAACAATAAGGACAGGAAACATTTTTATTAGTAAACTAAGCCTTAGACAAAGACCAAAAACAAATGTAAACAACAATTATTCTCTATGCCTTTTCCTGTTAAAAGGCCAAGGTAAACCTGGAAAAAGGCATAACAGTTAAAAAACAAAAATGCCTCTGCTATATTTGTAAACCTTTTGTTCCATGAGAAATCTGAAATTTTAAAAAATTGCTGTATGCCTGCAACCACCGCTATCTCTTACAAAGATGGTGTTTCCTGCTCAGATTCTAGAGCTCTTTAAAAAAAATAAAATGAGCATCAAAGAAAAAAACCACCACATTCATCCTCAGTCTTTACTACCAGAGTAGTTAATCTGGGGTGTCCAAAATAGAAAGTGGAAAGTCTTTCCCACCTTAAAACATACATTATTTCTTTGTTAGAAAACACATGTAAGAAAACTGGAAATAACAAAAACCCATCCAGACTCGGCTCCTAAACTTTGATCTTGGAAAAACCAACTTCACTTCAGATGCAGTGAAGGATTTTACTGTCACAAATCTTTCACTAGCATTGGTGTTTTTGGTTTTTTTTTGTTTGTTTGTTTTAATCCAAGCCCTAATCCTTAATTTGAGCTATGTGGAACCAAGATTTTTTTTCCCCCTTGTCCATTTCTCCTGTGACGTTGAATCCCTGCTGCTCAACACAGAACCTCAACCTGAATCTGTTGTACTGCTTGCTTATAGGCATGGATCTGAAGAACTCCACAAATAAAAAAGAGACAGACACCAACCTGCCAGACAAATTTACTAATTTTAATCTAATCTCTACGTTCAAAGGAACAGAATGCATTCTTGTCAACCTTCACATAGCTCTTACAAAAAACACAACAGGTTTACTGGGATGTAATTCACATGCCATAGAAGTCACTAATTTAAAGCGTACAATTCAATGGTTTTTAGTACCTTCAGAGTCGTACAGCCATCACCACAATCTAATTTTAGAACATTTTCATCACCCCCCAAAGAAACCCCATACCCATTAACAGTCACTCCCTGTTCCCTCCTCCCCACCCCCTTCACAACCACTAATCTGCTTTCAGTCTCTACGGATTTGCTTATTCTGGACCTCATATAAATGGAATCATACAATATGTGGTCTTTTGTGACTGACGCCTTTCACTCAGAACTTTGTTTTTAAGGTTCTTCCAGTCAACCTTAGCATACTTCTTAAGGCTGGATTTTTCTAATCCTTCTGACAAATCAAACATATAACCTTTTAAACTTCAAATCCTGACCCACACCCCATCCCTCCTCAAAAGTACCATTTACTTGCTAGTTCCCTCTAGAGAGTCTAAACTATAATTTGCTATTTAGGTTCTTTCCCAACTTCTTATTCTGGGCTCTTCCTCTGGTAATAAAACGCCAACTTCTTTAAACACCAACCTTTCATATACCTATATTTCTCTGACAATAGGACATGGCTGTGCCTAGGGCAGAAAGATGACTGAGTCCTTTTAATGAGATGGCCACAGTATGTTTGAAGTGCGTATGGGTTTTGAAAAAGAAGAGGAAAGAGAAACCCTCAGATGATCTATCACTCATAACTTCCATGAACCCCTTATTTAGATGCTCTGTTCACATACTGATACAGACACATGTGAAGGAGTTCATCTGCCTCAACAGCTTCTACATAGTCTAAGATTTGAAAGAAAATCACCCTACTGCTGTAGGTTTCAGTATTCAAAGAATAAACACTAATCCTTAAATATGCCAACACAATAGGAACCAACCCCATCCCAATTTTTATCGCTATACTAGAGAGCCAAAAGAATTACCCATCTCTGATTGGATTCAGTAGTTTATTTCCATCAGAATTAAGTCTTCTAGCACTTTTCTAACAAAGAAAAAACACATGTTAACACTGAGTTTATCATTTTCTCCTGAAAACTTCAGAGCTGTGGGAAGGAGCGGACAGGGAGTGAGGACTTCCACAAACCAAATCAGGAGTCAGGGTGCCTTCTGGCCATCCGTCAGTTTTTCAGGAACCAACAATTTTGGAGGGATCCCTGAGAAAAACTTTGGTCTCTCGGTATCATGAAAAATGTCCCTTCTCCTCCTGTTTTCTCAAGAAAGAGCTGCCTTTCAGAAAGAGTATTTTTCATGAAGATCGCTCCAAACAACAAGCCATCCTATTTTAAAATGCCCGACTCCTTCCTCAAGAAGCAAGGCCATCACCGCCGCGGTGAATTTCAGAACTTACTAACGTTAAATAATAAAACTAGAGGCATAACACACTTCAGTAGCATGCCATAAAAAATGGATTGGCTCTCCTGTGTCTTCTAAACTGAATTTTAACTTTTAGAGGCTAGGAAACCCTCTTCTGTCGTCCCCCCTCCCTCCCCATACCATCTGTAATCCTTAGAAGGGAGCCGAAAACCTTTCGTCCAATCCAGTGAGCTGGAAGTTTGGAAAACAAAGAGCAGGAGAGCTCAGATTTGTGGAAGGTCCGGCCTCAATCTACGACTTACTCCGGGTAGTAAACACTAATTCTTTAAAAATCTGCTCTTACTCCATCATGAACTCATTTCTTACAAGACACTTAAGAAGGGTTTGTTTACACAAACAGTCTTTCCGAATCGCCCCTGTGATGGGGCTAGACCGCCCCCCCCCCCCCGCCCCCCCATCCCCCCCCCCCACTCCTCAAGGCTCAGTCGTGATATTTTTTTTCAAAGTTAATTGGCACCACCTGCATACCCTCGGCAAACATTACTCACCAACACGCCCTCACCGTTCCCAGCCCCAGTTCTCCGACTGCATTTAAACTTTAATCGTGTTCAAATTACCCTACCATCGTGAATGTGCCAGTAAAGCATGCTTCGGTTTTTTGAGGATGTGAGCCCCCTCCCTCGCCTCCCTCCGTACACCGTGGGGCCCTAAATCCTCCCGCCCTCCGTCCTCGCGCTTCCCTACCCCTACCCGACGCTACCAAAACAAAAGCTATCAGATTGCAAGCGATAGCGAGCGCGGAGCGATATTGCTTATTAACTTTGTACAAAGGGAGTGCGGCATGTGGGGGAGGCAGAGTCACACAACTCCGGCCACAAACCCAAGGCGAGGGCTCTGCGCTCGCAAAACAAAACACCCTCCCGCCCACCGCCCCCGCTGCCGCAGACCCTGGCGCTCCTCAAACCGCGGCGCACGACACCTCTCGCCAGGGCCAGGCGCCTAGGTGTCCCTGAGCGGCCGTGTGGCGACAGCTAGAGCCAGCGTTGCGAGCACGTGTGTGGACATGCACGTCGACTCGGACCACACACCTACTCCTGCACAGTCGGACGCTGCCCGACCACCCCCTAGTCCCGCCAGGAGGAGAGGCATCTACAGGCGGATTGCAACTGGGTTGAAGAAAGTCCCAGAACCCTCTAAACTAGTGGCCCAGACGCGTTCCCGGGAAAAGCCTGACTGCTGTAGAGCCCCCGACCTTGCAGTTTTCCAGGGGCGGGGACTGCTAAGCGGGAACGTTCCCCTAACCCAAGCCGTGGGAAGCCCAAGCTGGGGGGTGGTGGGGGGCAGGTAACCCGCCGAAGATCGGGCGAAAGTGACGGGAAGGGAAAGGCCAGGATCCCAAAACGCCCGAGGGGCCAAGCGCGTTGGCGACACGAGGCCGCGCCGGGAGGTTTGGAAACGTGTCCTGGGGCTACGAGGCCTCTCCCCGGGCGCCTCGCCCTGGAACGCCACGGCCGGTGGGCTCCCCGATCCCCGCCCCCCGGGCACCGTATCTGCCCCAGCAGCCAGGGCCCCGCGCGGCCGCGGGAGCTGTCACCGCCGTCTGCGCGCCGCGCGGGGGCCAGCTTTCTGTGCGGAGTGGCCCGCGCGCCGGGAGGGGGGTGAGGTGTGGGTGGCGGGGCCCGGCCCGGCGCGAACTTCCCCGACGGATCCCAGAGCGGGCACGGCCGCGGGGGAACGAGCGCTGCCCGAGACAACCTGCCCGCGGAGCAGGACTCTCGGGACAGCGAAAGAGAAAGCCCCCGGGGCCCTTCCCGCACGAGGGTGCGCCGAGCCGGGGCCCCGGGGCCGCTCCAGCCTTCCGGCCGAGCCCCTCCGCACCCCGCCCCGCCACTCCCGAGCTCGGGGGCCCAACAGCTGCGGCGATGGCAACTCGGGTTTCGCAAACAGGGCGCAGCCCCTCGGAGGAAAAGTTCCCGCAGTGGCCGCGGGCGGCGGGCACATACTCACTTTCTCCACTCGTCGGCCAGAGCGAGAGCGCGGCGGAGAAAAACAGGAGCCCCCACAGCGAGGTCGGGGACCCTCCTCCGGAGCCAGACTTCATTCCTTTTATTTGGGACGAAATTCCCTTCTCTCAAAAAAAAAAAAAAAAAAAAAAGGAAAAAGGAAAAAAAAAAGGAAACAAGAAAGAAAAAGAAAACGGGAAAGAAAGTCTCAAACTCAGTCTTCGCCGCCTCCGAAAACAGGGCGACGGAAACAATACTCCAAAGGCGGCGCCGGCCGGGGACCCTCCGGGTGCGCGGGGCAGGCGGGCGGCGGCGCGGGGCGGCCCCTCAGCGCCGGCAGCCTCGGCCCAGGGCTCGGCGGAGTCGGGAACCCGAGGCGCGCCGGGGCGGGCTGTCGGCGTCGTCGGCCTCCATTTTCAAACCCAGAGAGGCAGGAGGGGGGGAAAACTGCACAGAAAGGGGGCAAAGCCCAAATTCGTCTCGGCGAAGAAAAACAAACGCGACCCCAGGCAGAGGGGGAGGCTGTCCGACACCCGAGCCTCCGCGGCTGGAGGGCGCGACGCAGTTCGCAAGATTGCCCCGAAGTCCGGGGCTCGGGCGAGGCCGGCCAGGGGGAGAAATGCGGAGTAAAAATGAATGAGCGGCTCCCCCTCCTCCTCCTCCTCCTCCGGGCTCCGCTCGCCGCCGCCTCCTCCCTCAGCGCCGCCGCCGCCGCCGCCGCCGCCGCGAGCTCCTTCCCAAATCCAGAACACACACAAAGCGGCGGGCCGGCCGCGCCGCGCTCAGCACTCCCGCCGCGCCGCCCGGGCTCCGCGCCGGCCCCCGCCCGGCCCCCGCCCGCCGCCGCCGGCTCCGCGCGCGGGGGCTCCGGCTCGCTGAAGGTCAAAGCCGAGGCGCGCAACGCGCCGTGGAGCTCCCCTCGCGCGGGAGGGGCGTGGAGGGCCCGGGGAGCGGGGCCGAGGGTCTGCAAGCGCCGGGCACGGGCGCGCCGGGGGCAGGCTCGCTGGCGGCGTCCCTCTCGCTCGCTCGCCTCTCTTGAGTTCGCCTGGTGCGCTCGCTCCTCCTCGGGTTTTTTCCCTTTTTTTTTTTTTTTTTTTTCCGCTCAGCAGAGTTAATGCTGGTAAACAAGAGCCTCAGCCTCGCCGCGCCGCTGCCGCTGCCGCTGCCACACACTGGGGGCTCGCGCGCGCGCGAGCTCTCGGAGCCGCGCACACGCGCCCGCGCGCACACTGGAGCGGCCACAGCCGCAGCCGCGGCGCGCCGAGGGCCCGGCCCAGGCCGGCGCGCGCCAAGAGACGGAGCCCGGGATTCCAGGGACGTGCGGAGCGGAGCCCGGGCGTGGGGTGCGAGGCTGCGAGGCACCGCCCCCGCCCCCCGCCCGCGCCGGCACACGCGCGCGCGCACACACGCTCTCGCCCCCACCCGCACTGCGCCGGCCACCCTGCACGCGCCCTCCCCTCCCGCAAGACTCCAAAAACAATGCCCCCGGCGCCGGCCCGGGGCTCGGCGGAGGGGCAGGCTGGGGAGGAGAGGGGAGCAGAGGGGAGGAGAGGGGAAGAGCGGGGAGGAGGGGGTGAGGGCGGAGGGGGCGGGGTGAGCGGGCAGTGCGGGGCCGGAGAGGTTCATTGAAAAACAACAGCACGGCTGGAAAGCGCGTTTCCTCGGTTCTTGAAAAGCTTCATTGTTTCTTGCAGCTGTTGCAAAATAAATAAATAAGTGCGTGCATGCGGCATTTTTTTTTTCAGCGTGCTGGAAAACCCGAATGTGGCGGGAGGGGCACACCTGGGAGAAAGGAGACCCCCAAGCTACTAAGGCAGGCACTTTCACGCAAGGCTGGGACGGCCGCGGCCTCGCGACCAGGGAGCCCGGAGTTCTGGGGCTTGCGGGGAGCTGAAGGGGAAGGGCGCGGCCCGCGTGGCTTGGCTCAGGGGCGCGAGGGGGAGACCGCCCGCCGCCCGCCGAGGGCCCCGAACCTGGGAAGGGGGGCCCAGACAGGCTGCCCCGCGTGCCCAGGGCGCGTCCCCGCGGCGGCCGCCAGGGGGCGCGGCTGGCGCCGGAGAAGGCCGGCCGACGGAGTGTCGCCTCCCTCCGGGAGAGGAAATGTGGGGGCCCGGGCAGGGGGCTTGCCAGGCTGGGTCGCTCTGACCGGGCCTCCACGACCCGCGGCCAGCCCTGGGCGCTCCTCGCGGCCTCACGAGGCTCGGTGCCCCACCACGTGGGCGGCTGCGGGGAGCGGCCGAAGCGCGTGCACAGGGCTGGGCTGCGGGGCAAGGGAGGCTGGGGCTGGCGGGGTGAGGGGGGGGCGTGTCCGAAAGGCTCCTAAGGATTGGGTGGGGGGCCGGGGCCCGGTCTCGTACGGGTCTGCAGGCTGGTATCTGCATCCCGGAACGTGCCGCACACACCCGCGACCAGTGGTCACTGCGGAAACCCATCCGCACCTGCCCGGTGTCCTCCCGAGCACGTCTCTCTAGTTTCGTTTGCTACGTAAGTGACTAGAAACCAGCACCAATTCCAGGTCTCCTTGGTGGTTTTCTTGAATGTGACCGAGGAGCGGTTTCCCCAAAGCGAGACTGCCCTAGGACTGCCATCTAATGAGTAAATGCTGCGGAGACCAGGTTCTCAAAGGAGAAACAGCCCAGCAATGGCTGGAGAAAGGAGTTTTAAATACGTGGACTTTTAAAAATAGTGATTGGACCACGTGTCGTCTGTAATGTGGTCCGGTTTCATGACTCAGGCTAATTGATGTCACTAATAAATAAAAAAGAAGATAGCTAATAAAAGAGTTGTGAATGTCTAGATCGAGTGCAAGTGTTTGTCTCATAAACAATCAGGCTGTCTGGTAAGAGGGGAACTGTTCTAAAGGAAAGGTAGGTTTCTTTTTTTTACTCTAATTGTAAAAGATTTCCGCGTTACATTATGCATCCCACCGTTCGTAAATAATTTTTTTAATTAAGAACTGAAAACAAGGTAGAAGCTATCACGATGGAAACCCAGCCCTTTCCCTCCCTATATTTATTTCCTAGATCATTTTTCCCCCTTGGAAATTTTTAGCTCAATTCAGTGAGTCAGTGTATAGAAGGGAAATAAATCTTTTTTTTTTTTCCTTTTTAGTTAAGAGAGTCATTCATATGGGATTTGTTTGTTTTTAACTGGAATTCAGCTTAATTTTCAAATACAATGTTCCAGTTGTAGGTGTTTCTGGACATTAGCAAAGGAAGAAACATATTAGAATCTTTTAAAAGAAACTCAATTTAGCATGTATCATTTAAAAATAAGGTACTATACGTGAATAATTAAAATTTAGGTTACTAATTTTTAAAATATTTCTTCAGAGAGTTCCCTGCATGAGCTTGATCTTGATGCCTACAGATCCCTTCTGCAGCTAAATGTAAAGGAATATCAAAATTACATTCTCATCATATTTAGTGTTCAGAATTTTTAATACATACTTGTAAATTAAGACAAAAGTTTAGAGCCGATTTTTAAAAGGTGAATGCTAATATAAGCAGCTTTACTACAGAATATATTCCAAGGTTAGTAATAAAAAATGCCCATCGAGTTGTCCCTGAGAACATAAGGAGGTTTATGGAATAAAGAGAAATGTATAGTTATTTATATTGTAGATTTTTTTTAACCAAAATGATTTTTCATTTGTGAATTTTTTAAATGTTTGTGTTTTCCTAAAGTAATAAATAAATAAGATTAAGTTATTTTAGACAGTGAAGTTAGATGCTTACTATTATAGGGCTTAATATTGAAAAGAGAATGAAAATTTAGATTGCTTTTCAGCTGTAACTTGCTCACCTAGACAAACAAGGTGATTTGTGTTTTCTTCAAGGATTACATCCTGCATATCAAAGTCAAATGTATTTTTTCAACCTTGGAAATAAAATCATGTAGTAAAACATTAATTGGAGTCTTTGCTTTATAATAGCACCAACAATGCATTGCACATTTTGTTTTATGCAATTTTCCCCAGGTGTCTTATAAATTTCCCTTCATTTGGAAATGAAACTGGTTGCTCACTTTCACTTTTTAAAAACTGTTTACTTGAAAAGTTTTATTTCAAAATATTCTGCTCAATGTACCAGATGCCCCCAAAATGCAGTATGTACCAAGTGAAAATGTGAGAAACAGCACAGATGACAATTGATAAGTATTCTAAGTATACAATACCGTGTGGTACATTTCCAGAAAGGAAAGTCATTCAAAGCAAAAGTGAATAAACCACAGCCACACACACGGGCAAAACTTTGAAGCACAATTTTTTTTTAAAGATTTATTTTATTTATTTATTTGACAGACAGAGATCACAAGTCGGCGAGAGGCAGGCAGAGAGAGAGGAGGAAGCAGGCTCCTCACAGAGGAGAGAGCCCGATGCGGGGCTCGATCCCAGGACTCTGGGATCACGACCTGAGCCGAAGGCAGCAGCTTAATCCACTGAGCCACCCAGGCGCCCCGAAACACAATTTTTAATTAAAAAAAGAATGCAAGTTTTGAAAAAAGCACATGACACCATTTTGATAAAGCTCTTAAAAGGACAACAAAAAACATGCGGCAATTTTTTAAGTAGGATAATTACACAATAAAGTATTTTTGTTTTGTTTTACTTTTATTTTGGCAAGAGGATTAATAAAGAACACAAAACATAGGATCCTGGTTACCTCTGGGATGGAGTTGGGGAAACCTCATAGACACATACAAATGTTCTCAGAACTATGTTCATTCTCAGGTTGGGTGGTAAATTTGCAAATTTCCACTTTATAATTATGCTTTATAACTAACACACATATTACACATATTTTTGTATGTATAAAATACAAAAGAAGAGGATAAAAATATGGGAGTCACAAAAGAGATCATCCCAGTTTTCCAATATGACTCTTTCAAATTCCAAGTTGTTTGTAAAAACAACTGAGAAGAATTAAAGAACCATTAAAATGATCTAGTTAATCAAGGTCTTATCCTTAAGTATATTTTTCAAAAGAATGTTTACCTATAACCTATCAGTGCAATTCAGGACAAAAACAAGTCATGAAATAAAAAATGTAGAACTCACAGGTAACTAGGTTTATTAATTAAGAGTGCATTAGTGCATTACATAATCTGTCCGGCAGTTTCCTGTAGGGTTAAACACACACCTAAC